TATAGTAAACTCAAAGTTAGTCATAAATTTAAGCCAAAATGTATTCTGCTACATGTTTTTGGTAAAAAAAATCCCAATAAGTGTATATTGATTGCTTTGTGTGAAAGTTATAGCGTCTACAAACTATGGTATAGATACTGTAATTTATGCCTTTTTTTGCTATACAGCGCTGCACTAACTCAAATGATAATTGCGCGGTCATGCAATGCTGCACCCAAACGAAAATTACGTCCTTTTTTTCACACAAATAGAGCTTTCTTTTGGTGGTATTTGTTCACCTGTGCGCTTTTTATTTTTTGCGCTATAAACAAAAAAACCACAAAAATTTTGAAAAAAAACAATATTTTCTACTTTCAGCTATAAAAAATATATCGTAAACTCAAAGTTAGTCATAAATTTAAGCCAAAATGTATTCTGCTACATGTTTTTGGTAAAAAAAATCCCGTGCATTAGCGGGCAAACTGGCGCTATCTAGGAGGGGCGCTAACACTATCGGAAGTCACCAGTGACACTAATACAGTGATCAGTAAAAATCTGTTCACTGTAATCAATGACACTGGTGACAGGGCAGTGAAGGGGTTAACTGGGGGGGGGGGGGGAGGGGGGCGATCAAGGGGTAAAATGGGATTTCTGGTGCACTAGCGGGCAAACTGGCACTATCTGGGAGGGGCGCTAACACTATCGGAAGTCGCCAGCGACACTTATACAGTGATCAGTAAAAATTGGTTCACTGATCAGTGACACTGGGTGACAGGGTGACAGGGCAGTGAAGGGTTTAACTGGGGGGGGGGCGATCAAGGGGTTAAACGGGATTACTGGTGTACTGGCGGGCAATCTGGCGCTATCTGGGAGGGGCGCTAACTCTATCGGAAGTCGCCAGCGACACTGATACAGTGATCAGTAAAAATTGTTCACTGATCAGTGACACTGGGTGACAGGGCAGTGAAGGGTTTAACTGGGGGGGGCGATCAAGGGGTTAAATGGGATTACTGGTGTACTGGCGGGCAAGCTGGCGCTATCTGGGAGGGGCGCAAACTCTATCGGAAGTCGCCAGCGACACACTGATCAGTAAAAATTGCTTCACTGATCAGTGACACTGGGTGACAGGGCAGTGAAGGGGTTAACTGGAGGGGGGGGGGGGGGGGGCGATCAAGGGGTTAAACGGGATTACTGGTGTACTGGCGGGCAAGCTGGCGCTATCTGGGAGGGGCGCAAACTCTATCGGAAGTCGCCAGCGACACTGATCAGTAAAAATCGCTTCACTGATCAGTAACACTGGTGACAGGGCAGTGAAGGGTTAACTGGAGGGGGGGGCGATCAGGGGGTTAAATGTGTCCTAGAGTGTTCTAACTGTAGTGTAGTGCTTGTGTACTCACTTTTTGGATGTCTTCTTCTCTGTCTGGAACGAAATGTGTCCAGGCAGAGAAGAATGACATCATATCCTGCCCTGTGTATGTCAACACAGGACAGGATAGGACAGGGACCATCATGTGATTTCAGCCAGAAATCACTGGCTGAAATCTAATGATTGATCCCTCCTGGATCAAATAGTGTCACCCGTGGGTCGGCGGGGGAGCGCGCGCGCGCGCCCCCTGCTGGCGAAAGTGTCGGGAGCGCGGAACCCGTTTTAAAACGTGGTTTTGCGCTCCACTGCCGCCCTGCACACGTATATACACAGTGGCAGGGCGGCAAGCGGTTTAAAGCAGAGTTCCACCCAAAAGGGGAAGTTCTGCTTTAAAGATTGGTCCCCCGCTCCCCATTAAGGATTGGCACCTTTGGGGAGCAGGGGGGAAGGGGGAGTGGGTAACCGAAATTGACAGGTACCCGCTCCCACTGCAATCGCCTAGGCGATCAGAAGCGGAAGTTGTCCTCCTACCCGCAGTCTTGTGGTACACGAGAGGTCCCAGAAGACGACGAGGCCATTCAGGAAGCGCAGCGCTACTCGCACATAAAGCTGCCACAGCTGGGTGCCCACACTGAAGATGCCGGCGCCTGGAATACAGGGCGGCAGGTATGTGCCTGTTTTTTTAAAAGCCAGCAGCTACAGTTTTTGAAGCTGCTGACATTTTTTTTACAGTGTGAGTGGAACTCTGCTTTAATTTGCAGGGATTTGCCCTCTTCATGTTTTAGCTATGGGACAGAAAGAAGATAAATCTTCCCAATGGGACACAGATGGAGAAAAAAAAAAAAGCTGACAGGGGTTATAACTAGTGATTCACTGATATATTGGCCAAAAGTACAGTGGCGAAATGGTTAGCACTTCCACCTGGCAGAACTGGGTATGTTGGTTCAAATCCCAAACACAGCACCACCTGCTTGGAGTCTGCATGTTCTCCCTGTGCCTGCATGGATTTCCTCCGGTTTCCACCCACATTCCAAAGACATGCTGGTAAGTTAATTGGCCCTAGTATGTGTATGTATGACTGTGAGTTAGAGACCTTAGATCACAGGTGTCAAAAACAAGGCCCGCAGGCCGAATTCGACCTCCGGGCCATTTCATGTGGCCCTTGCTCCTCTCCTGCAGGTATGGTACCCCCTTGTCTCTGCCTCCACATTGTCTCAGCAGTCGGCAGCAAAGAGAATAAAACTCCTCTGCCAAATCCTGCACCTCTCAGTGCAGCTGCAGCCCCTCATCTCCGCCTCCCCTGGTCTCAGCATTCAGCAGGGCTCTGGTAACTGACTCCACTCTTCTTCTGGTCCTCCTCCAGACCCTGCACTTTCTGCTTTCCAGCTCTGCCCCCAAAGGGGGTGCATGGTGATGTTAGGGAGGGTGTGGGATTCTTGACATCTGATGCAATGGGGGGGGGGGGGGGGGTGGACATTATTCTTACAGATACAACCGGCCCTTTGAGGGCAAGCATAATGCTGATACGGCCCGTGATGAAATGGGAGTTTGACACCCCTGCCTTAGATTGTATGCTTGAGGGTTAAGGACTGATGTGAATCTACTATATGTACAATGCTACATAAATTGACAACGCTATACAAGTACCTTAAAGAAAAAAAAAAAAAAAAAACTGCCGATGATAATCAACTTCAATGCAAAAAAACACCTCTATTCAATTTTTTTTATATATAGATCTATATATATTTCATTTTATTTTCTGTTAAATTTTTGTGTTACGGTCTATAAAAGTTATTTTACATTACTGGATAGTATTTTAATTTGTATCATATTTAAATTCATTATATTAAAAAAATCAAATAGAGTACAAACATATATTTTTTTAAAAGCCTTGCTATTTCAGTTTTTAGACAAGTGCATGCTGAATTTCCGGTCCAGAACTATCATTTTGGTGTTCCACTAGCTATAACCCTCCTCCAATCTAAAACAAAAAAAACTTTGCCTTTAGTTCTAGTTTAAATCCACAAGCACTGTGAGTGTGGTCACCATGAAGCTGACTGTGCTCACCTCGGTACTTGTCTGTTAGTTCATCGGATTTATATATATATTTTTTTTTTTATTCAAAATTATTATTATTCAGTATTTATAAAGCGCCAATAGTTCGCTCAGCGCTGTACATTACAAAGGGGGACAGAACATGTGACAGAACAATACCAATACAATGTGATACACAAGGGGTTCGAGGGCCCTGCTCTTTCAAGCTTACAATCTAGGAGGGAGGGGATGGTGGCACAGGAGGAGATAGCTGTGGGGGATGGAGTGGTAGGAAGAGTGGAGGAGGTCGGCAAGTTAGCAGGGGGTGGGGTAGGCTTCCCTGAAGAGGTGGGTTTTCAGGGTGCGCCTAAAGGAGAGGAGAGTAGATGATAATCTGATGGGTTGGGGCAGGGAGTTCCAGAGGATGGGTGACACCCTGGAGAAGTCCTGGAGGTGGGCATGGGAGGAGGAGACCAGGGAACTAGAGAGAAGGAGGTCTTGTGAGGAGCGGAGTGTGCGTGCTGGGCGGTACTTGGATATTAGGTCAGTGATGTAGTTCGGGGCAGTATGGTGGACGGCTTTGTATGTCAGTGTTAGGATTTTGAATTTGATCCGTTGCGAAATTGGAAGCCAGTGGAGGGATTGGCAGAGGGGGGGTGGCGGAAACGGAGCGGTTGGAAAGGTGAATGAGTCTGGCAGCCGTATTCAGGATCGACTGAAGCGGGGATAGCCAGCGGCGAGGCAGGCCAGTGAGGAGGGAGTTGCAGTAGTCGAGTCGTGATACGATGAGGGAGTGGATGAGCTGTTTAGTGGTTTCTGGGGTTAGGAACGTGCGGATTTTGGCGATGTTGCGGAGGTAGAGTCTGCATGAGTTTGTGCAAAATTACAAATATATATATAAATCTGGTGAATTGATAAGTACCCTCACCTCTCCTTCTGGGCACCGTTCTGCAGGTATGGAGGAGCACGTGGCTCACTTTTTGTTGCTTTCTTGGTGATTGGCCCAGTGCGGTCACATGGGGGCAGGGAGACAGACCCCAGCCCCATGTAAGCTCTGACACTACACTGACAGCCCATACACTCGTCAGTCATCCCCCACCTAAATCATTCAATGTGGAAGGGAGAATCTGCAGTCTTACAGTGCTGTGACTTCCCCACCATCAGAATACAATGATCAGCGCTGCAGCCTACTGCTTGCAGTGCAGATGAGAAGAAATTGTCCAATAGGGTGGTTGTACAGAAGTCAATCTGTAGTTGGACCTCTACAACCACACTGTCCACACAAGGATTTGGATTTCACCGCCTGGAAAGGTGTGGATGCTATTTTACACATCTGTCGCAAGTAGGCCAGTCCTTTCACATGAACAGGCTGTCCTATTCTGTCACACGAGAAAGCACAACACACATATGTGAATGAGGCCTTATTCCACAATGCATGTGCAGTAAAACCTCGCTTTACAACACAAGCAAATCGATCCGAGGCAGCAATAAAGCCCAAACCCACCGTTCCTCCATTCATGTGACACGCAGCACTCTACAGCAAAGCAACATGGCGCCATCACTCCTCCACCTTCACTCAGCACAGAGCTTTACCTTCCATCACCTCCAAGCCCATACTCACCACACTGCAACACCGACTCGGCTACTACACCACACAGGCCTCCCAACTTCTCTCCACACCACAATGGCGCCCGATGCTTCCTCCACAGAACCGCCTAGTTTCCGAAGGGACCGCCCTATTACGTCGCCGCAAACGCTCAGCTCTCCCTCTACAGATGATAGTTGGTTAAAGGGCGGCCATCTTAGGTGCGGGCACTGGCGCCTCTATTACAGACAAAGGGTGGCCATCCTAGATATGGGCACTGGCGCCTCCATTACAGACAATAGGTAGTCCAAAGGCGGCCATCTTAGGTGCGGGCACGGGAGTCTCCATTACAGGTAAAAGGTGGTCCAAGGGCGGCCATCTTAGAGGCGGGCAGTGGCAGCATATGTTAATCTGAGCTTTTCACGCAGTTCTCTCTAACCAGGTGTTCTTGTGATACAAATTAATCATGGTGGGCTGGAAGGTCAGCTAAACTGTAGCATTTGGCAAGTTCATGTCTATGCGTTGCAGGAATGTGTGGAAAATGGCATGCTTTGCTGTCACACACAGAATTGTGCTGCTCTTAAGTAGATGTATGGAAGAGGCATTAAGCACTTGCTCTTCAGAGGATTTACCCCCCCCCCCCCTTAATGACCAGGCCTATTTTGCTACTCGTGCTGCATTAATTCAACTGATAATTGTGCGGTCATGCAATGCTGTACACAAAATGTATGTACTTTTTTTCACACAAATAGAGCTTTCTTTTGGTGGTATTTGCGGTTTTTATTTTTTGCGCTATAAACAAAAAAAGACTGAAAATTTTGAAAAAGATATTTTTTACTTTCGGCTATAAAAAATATATAGTAAACTCAAAGTTAGTCATGAATTTAGGCCAATATGCATCCTGCTACATTTTTGGTTAAAAAATCCCAATAAGTGTATATTGATTGCTTTGTGTGAAAGTTATAGCGTCTACAAACTATGGTATAGATACTGCAATTTACGCCATTTTTTTTACTATACAGCGCTGCACTGGTTTAGCAAGTGCGCAGTCATGCAATCTGGTACATAAATTAAATTTACGTCCTTTTTTTCACACAAATAGAGATTTCTATGGTAATAATCGATCACCTGTGTGCTTTTTATTTTTTGGCGCTATAAACAAAAAAAAAAATATTTTTTCATTTCTGTTATAAAAAATATCCAAAAAACAAATATTTCGTCGTAAATTTAGGCCAAAATGTATTCTGCTACATGTTTTTGGTTAAATAAAATCCAGATAAGTGTATATTTATTACTTTGTTTGAAAGTTATAGCGTCTACAAACTATGGTATAGAATAGATAATGGAATTTACACAGCTTTTACCTTCTGACTGCCCATTTCTTGAGGTGCTAAAATACCAGGATAGTACAAACACCCCCCAAATGACCCCTTTTTGGAAAGTAGACACTCTACGCTATCTGCTGAGAGGCATATTGAGTCCATGGAAGATTTTTTTTTTTTTCTTTTCCACAAATTTTTGGAAAATTACAAAAACATTTTTTTTTACACACAGTTGTCATTTAAATTATATATTTCTTGCACAAGCCATGGGTATATGTGGAATTACACCCCAAAATACATTCTGCTACTTCTACCGAGTATGGGGATACCACATGTGTGAGACTTTTTGGGAGCCTAACCACATACAGGAGCTTGAAATCCAATTAAAACTTTGAAAGCCTGAAGGTGCGTAACTTCCTCATTACCTATCACTGTTTCAGAGGCCCTGAAATGCCAGGATAGCACCAACTCCCCCAAATGACCCCCTTTTTGGAAGTAGATACCCCAAGGAATTTAAAAAGAGGCATGGTGAGTATTTTGCAGATCTCATTTTTTCTCACAAGGTTTTGAAATATAAAAAATGAAAAGAAAAAATATGTTTTTGTTTTCTTTCTTCATATTCCAAAAACTTATGGCAATAAACGAGATCTGCAAAATACTCACCTGCTTCTTATTAAATTCCTTGGGGTGTCTACTTTCCAAAAAGGGGTCATTTGGGGGGGTTAGGTGCTATCCTGGCATTTCAGGGCATCCAAAACTGTGATAGGTAGTCAGGAAGTGTAATGAGGAAATATATCCCTTTAAAAGCCTGAAGGTGCTTATTGGATTTTGCGGTCCTGTACTTGGCTAGACTGCCAAAAAGTCTCTCACATGGTACCCCCATACTCGGGAGAAGTAGTAGAATGTATTTGGGGAGTAATTCCACATATATCCATGGCATGTGTGAGCAATAAATCATTTAAGTGACAATTTTATGTAAAAAAAAAAAAAAAAAAATTATGTCATTTTCCAAAAACATGTGGCAAAAGAAAATTCTTCTATTGACTCAACGTGCCTCTCAGCAAATAGTTTGGAGTGTTTACTTTCCAAAAAGGGGTTGTTTTAGGGGGGTGGGGGCATTTTATGCCCAGCATTAGAAGTTTATGCCACGCATCACTCACTCTTCTAACAACCTGAAGACCAAGACTTTTCTGACACTTTTTGTTCACATGAAAAAAATCTGTATTTTTTGCTAGGAAATTACTTTGAACCCCAAAATATTATATTTTTTTTAAAGCAGACACCTTAGAGAATAAAATGGTGGGAGCTGCAATTTTTTATGTCACATAGTACTTGCGTACCAATTTTTCAAATGCAAAGTTTTTGAAAATAAACTTTTTATTTTAATGCACAAAAACACAATATATTGGCCAATTATTTAGTAAAATATAAAAGATGATGGTATGTTAAGTAAATAGATACCAAACATGACATGCTTTAAAAACTGTGCATGCCCCATGAAATGGCGACAAACTGCATACAATTTTTAATATCCATATGCAACGCTTTAAAAGCCTTTACAAGCTACTATTTTAGATTTACAGAGAAGGCCTAGTACTAAAATTACTGCCCTTGATCTGACGTTTGCGGCGATACCTTACATGCATAGTGCAACCGCTGTTTACATACCAGCAGGGGGGGGAGGGCGTGTCGGCACACGCAGGGGGGGCGAGGGTGCATTTTTTTTATTTAAGTTATTTTTATTTTTTTAATTATTTTTACACTGTCCCTTTCATTTTTTTTTATCACTTTTAATGCTATCACAGGAGATGCAAATATCCCCTATAACTTTAATGGGCATTGTCATATATTCTTTTTTGAGAAATCTGGGGTCTATCAGACTCTAGATATCTCCTCTACCCTTACATTATCTAATCTCACCAAGATCGGGTGTGATCAGATGCTTTCCCAGTTTACAAATGGCTCTGTTTATATCCTGCAAAACTGAAGTAATGAAATGCTCGTAGCTTCTGATTTCTTAGACTATAGAGATGATTGGCACCATCCTGGTCTCCAATCAGCTCTATGGTCAGCTGGCAGAAACACTGGCTGCATTCTTAGTTTCCCCCGATGGCACGGGACTGCCCTAGAAGTCCGTGTGGAAGGCAGCGGGGGGGGGCATCATCTCCCACTGCCTGTAAAAGAAATCCTGCAGCTAATTAGCCACTAGGATTACTTTTACATGAAAGCCGATCGCTGGCTGAAAAAGACAATAGCAGGATGATGACTGCAGCGGTGGGCATCATACTGGTATAACCATTCAAACTCCAGTGATGTACCAGTACATCGCTGGTCCTTGTTGGATATACAGTCAGGTCCATAAATATTGGGACATCAACACAATTCTAACATTTTTGGCTCTATACACCACCACAATGGATTTGAAATTAAACGAACAAGATGTGCTTTAACTGCAGACTGTCAGCTTTAATTTTAGGGTATTTACATCCAAATCAGGTGAACGGTGTAGGAATTACAACAGTTTGCTTATGTGCCTCCCACTTATTAAGGGACCAAAAGTAATGGGACAATTGGCTTCTCAGCCGTTCCATGGCCAGGTGTGTGTTATTTCCTCATTATCCCAATTACAATGAGCAGATAAAAGGTCCAGAGTTCATTTCAAGTGTGCTATTTGCATTTGGAATCTGTTGCTGTCAACTCCCAAGATGAGATCCAAAGAGCTGTCACTATCAGTGAAGCAAGCCATCATTAGGCTGAAAAAACAAAACAAACCCATCAGAGAGATAGCAAAAACATTAGGCGTGGCCAAAACAACTGTTTGGAACATTCTTAAAAAGAAGGAACGCACCGGTGAGCTCAGCAACACCAAAAGACCCGGAAGACTACGGAAAACAACTGTGGTGGATGACCGAAGAATTCTTTCCCTGGTGAAGAAAACACCCTTCACAATAGTTGGCCAGATCAAGAACACTCTCCAGGAGGTAGGTGTATGTGTGTCAAAGTCAATAATCAAGAGAAGACTTCACCAGAGTGAATACAGAAGGTTCACCACAAGATGTAAACCATTGGTGAGCCTCAAAAACAGGAAGGCCAGATTAGAGTTTGCCAAACGACATCTAAAAAAGCCTACAAAGTTCTGGAACAACATCCTATGGACAGATGAGACCAAGATCAACTTGTACCAGAGTGATGGGAAGAGAAGAGTATGGAGAAGGAAAGGAATTGCTCATGATCCTAAGCATACCACCTCATAAGTGAAGCATGGTGGTGGTAGTGTCATGGCGTGGGCATGTATGGCTGCCAATGGAACTGCTTCTCTTGTATTTATTGATGATGTGACTGCTGACAAAAGCAGCAGGATGAATTCTGAAGTGTTTTGGGCAATATTATCTGCTCATATTCAGCCAAATGCTTCAGAACTCATTGGACGCCGCTTCACAGTGCAGATGGACAATGACCCAAAGCATACTGCAAAAGCAACCAAAGAGTTTTTTAAGGGAAAGAAGTGGAATGTTATGCAATGGCCAAGTCAATCACCTGACATGAATCCGATTGAGCATGCATTTCACTTGCTGAAGACAAAACTGAAGGGAAAATGCCCCAAGAACAAGCAGGAACTGAAGACAGTTGCAGTAGAGGCCTGGCAGAGCATCACCAGGGATGAAACCCAGCGTCTGGTGATGTCTATGCGTTCCAGACTTCAGGCTGTAATTGACTGCAAAGGATTTGCAACCAAGTATTAAAAAGTGAAAGTTTGATTTATGATTATTATTCTGTCCCATTACTTTTGGTTCCTTAATAAGTGGGA